CCACAATACTTGCTGATGTCATCAATTCATACTGCTAGGTATGTTGCTCAAACGCACTGGACAACATACTGATGTGAACAAATATGCTACTGCATAGGTGTCAAAACTTGATCATGTCATGTGATGTCTATCACCATGATTTTTACCTTTGTGGAGCTGGGGTGGGGTGTTGCCTGTGCATGATGCATCCAGACCGGGGGCCATCAGTTTGGCATCCCTGTTCTATTGTGTCTGCTTATAATCAAAAGTGTCTGGAGGAGGTCAGTGTTCTTAAGACTATTATGAGAGCAAGCAAACCTTGGATGTCTCAGGAGGTCAGTTGAAGGTGATAAACACCACTTTCAAATCAGGCAATGTGGCAGCACTTACCATAGCAGGAGCTGGTTTGAGATGTACTATAAAAACAGCAAAGCAGGCTCTATAGTCAGAAAGTGCAGAATGTCTTTCAAGGTCCTATGGTATGGATCCTAGAATGGGGCAAGGTATTTGGGTTATTCCTGACTATAAGACAACTTCCCTAACATGTAAGGGTAACACAGATTTTCTAAAAAAAAAAACTATGATTTTTTGGATGGTGTGAAGCTGCAAACATTCCAGCAAGGAAGGCTTTTCCCCTTCCTGATGAACAATTGCTCAGGTTTGATACAACTGCTGTTTAGAAGGTGCTATGGAAAGTCAATATTCAAAAAGTTGTGTCCTGCTAATATTTGGTTTTGGTTTTGGTTTTATTGGGATTTATAGGCCGCCCTTTTCCCTGAGGGGACTCAGGGCGGCTTACATTCGTAGGGAAAGGGGAAGTGCAATATAACACAAAAACAGTGTGTAACTAAAATAAATAGTAAAAAACACAACTTTCATTCAGCATTCAACACTCGGGCGGGGTGAATTAGCGGCTTATCCCCAGGCCTGGCGGGAAAGCCATTTTTGTCATTTTGTCATTTATTGGACATTTATAGGCCGCCCTTTTCCCTGAGGGGACTCAGGGCGGCTTACAACTTATATAGGAAGGGGAAACATACAATGACATATAGGACAATACATAATTAAAAGAGTAAAGCAACATTCATTCAACATTCGGGTGGGGATGGATTATAATCTTTAACCCCAGGCCTGACGGGATAACCAGGTCTTGAGGGCTGTGCGGAAGGTCTGAAGGGTGGTGAGGGTACGAATCTCCACAGGGAGATCGTTCCAAAGGGTCGGAGCTGCTACAGAAAAGGCTCTCCTCCGCGTAGTTGCCAGTCGGCACTGACTGGCGGATGGAATACGGAGGAGGCCAACTCTATGCGATCTGATGGGACGCAGGGAGGTAATTGGCAGAAGGCGGTCTCTCAAATAGCCAGATCCACTACCATGGAGCGCTTTATAGGTGGTGAGTAGGACCTTGAAGTGCACCCGGAGATCGACAGGTAGCCAGCTCTCCTCCGTGTAGTCGCCAGTCGACATTGACTGGCAGATGGAATTCGGAGGAGGCCCAATCTATGTGATCTAATTGGTCGGAGGGAGGTAATCGGCAGGAGGCGGTCTCTCAGGTATCCCTGGGCAGTACTTAAGGAGTGTGTTGTTCAGCTGGCCATTGTTCCCACAAACATGACTTTGTCCAGTACCATTGTGCCAGTACCAAAAAACTCACATGCCTTAATTACCACCATCCAGTTGCACTCGCTTCTTTTATGAAGAAGTCTTTATCCCCTACTTTGACTCATTAGTTTGCCTATCAGAAGAGCTGATTTATAGATAATGCACTTTCCTCTGTGCTTCATCTTAGGTTGGCGCACCTGGAGAATAATCATGTGCAAATGCTGTTTGTTGATTTTACTTTGGCATTCAACACATTCATTCTTCAGCATTTGGTGAACAAACTGGGCCTATTAGGTTTTAATACTCCTTTATGTTATTGGACATTTGATTTCCTTATTGATAGGCCCAAGTTTGTGCGAGTTGGAATAAAAGTTTCCAACTCCATCTCGTTGACTACATGTTCCCTACAGGGCTGTCTTCAATCTACTCCTGTTCATCTTAATGCCCCACAACTGCTGTGCCAAATCTGCTATGAATCATATTGGATGACACAGCAATGGTGGGTCTTATCCAGGATGATAATGAAGATGCTTATAGGGAAGAGGTGAAGGCTCTGGTGGACCAGTGCAATAAAAGTAACCTGGTTCTAAATGTTAGTAAAACAAAGGAAATCATTGTAGATTTTAGAAAGAGCCAGCAGTCATATTCCACTCAATATCAAGGATACAGCTATAGAGGTGGTCAATAGTATTAAGTAACTGGGGGTGCAGATAACTAACAATCTGAATTGGTCTCTCCATACGTCATCCTTAGTGAAGCGTACAAACTAGCATCTGCATTTTCTGCATTGGATAAGAAAAGTGCACCTTTCTTCTTGTGTCCTGGCCACTTTTTAGAGGTTAGGTTAGGTTAGGTTAGGTTAAGTTTATTTATAGGCCGCCCTTTTCCCTGAGGGGACTCAGGGCGGCTTACAACTTATATAGGAAGGGGAAACATACAATGACATATAGGACAATACATAATTAAAAGAGTAAAGCAACATTCATTCAACATTCGGGTGGGGATGGATTATAATCTTTAACCCCAGGCCTGACGGGATAACCAGGTCTTGAGGGCTGTGCGGAAGGTCTGAAGGGTGGTGAGGGTACGAATCTCCACAGGGAGATCGTTCCAAAGGGTCGGAGCTGCTACTGAAAAGGCTCTCCTCCGCGTAGTTGCCAGTCGACACTGACTGGCAGATGGAACTCGGAGGAGGCCCAATCTATGCGATCTAATGGGTCGTAGGGAGGTAATTGGCAGGAGGCGGTCTCTCAAATAGCCAGATCCACTACCATGGAGGGCTTTGTAGGTGGTAAGTAGCACCTTGAAGCGCACCCGGAGATCAACAGGTAGCCAGCGCAGCTCGCGGAGGATAGGTGTTATGTGGGCGAACCGAGGTGCACCCACAATCACTCGCGCGGCTGCATTCTGGACTAGCTGAAGTCGTTGGATGCTCTTCAAGGGCAGCCCCATGTAGAGCACATTGCAGTATTCCAGCCTAGAGGTCACAAGGGCCCGAGTGACTGTTGTGAGAGCCTCCCGGTTCAGGTAGGGTCGCAACTGGCGCACCAGGCGAACCTGGGCAAATGCCCCCCTGGTCACAGCCGACAGGTGGTAATCAAAAGTCAGCTGTGGATCCAGAAGGACTCCCAAGTTGCGAACCCTGTCTGAGGGGTGTAATATTTGACCCCCCAGCCTGAGTGATGGAACACTGGTCAAATTGTTGGGAGGAAAACACAACAGCCACTCGGTCTTTTCCGGGTTGAGTACAAGCTTGTTTGCCCTCATCCAGTCCCTAACGGCTTCCAGACCCCGGTTCATCACATCCACCGCTTCATTGAGTTGGCATGGGGCGGACAGATACAGCTGCCTATCGTCCGCATATTGGTGATATCTTATCCCATGCCTCCGAATGATCTCGCCCAGCGGTTTCATGTAGATGTTAAATAGTAGGGGGGACAGGACCGACCTCCGCGGCACCCCATATGTTAGTAACAGTGCCTCCCACTCCTACCTCCCGCAGTCGTTGCAGAAGGATACCATGGTCGATGGTATTGAAAGCCACCGAGAGGTCAAGGAGAACTAAGATGGAGGCGTGGCCTCCATCCCTGGCTCTCCAGAGATCATCGGTCAATGCGACCAAAGCGGTTTCTGTGCTGTAACCAGGTCTGAAGCCGGACTGGAATGGGTCTAGGTAGAGGCACGATTGAGAGTGTCTTAACAAACTGCATCACTGTTTGGTTTGGTGGTAGCAGTGCCTCAGATAGAAGGTCCATACAGAGAGTAATAAGCACATCTGAGATTATAGGAAACTTGCTTTTTATTATTCAGGATACCATTACTCAGGATACTGCTCATAAGCACTATGTGCATAGAGCTCAAAGCATTGTTAGAGACCCCACACACCCACTTTACAGTCCATTTCTGTTGCTCCTCTTTGGGAGGATCTTTTGAAGTATTTTTAGCAGGACTATCAGATTCTGTAAGAGCTTTGTTCTCTATGCCGTCCGTCTGGTAGACTTGCAAAATTTGTTTTTCTCACCATGTACATGAATCTAAACTAGATTGTGTTGTTTCTCTGAGACATAATATATGTGGGTACATGTATATTGTTTGTTTGTCATGTTTATACAGTCTATATTGGAGATGGTGATCCTTTGAGAGCTGTATGCCATGACATTTTAATTTTTATTTTTAATAAATTTTATTTTGTTTGTACAAACTTCACATCTTTGCAACACATTATATTTTTTACCTATCTGTTATGTCTGTTTTATCTATACCAATAAATCTTTTTTAACTATGACTTGATATATTTGTGCATTTAAATATTTCATACAATTTCATTTTAATGTATACCGATTAGTGTACATTTAATAAAGTTATTCTAAGCCTAAATCTACTGTTACTAGAGATTAAGATCCATTTTCAGCTATCATCTATAAGGCTGGTTTAATAATGATATCCTATTAAAAAAACAAGGCATAAAATGTATGTTGTCCAATCCAAACCATCTAGTAATCTGTCAACCATATTTTTACTGCATTATTTTTAGATAAATCAATTCAACTATACAGGTAGTCATTGACTTACAACAGTTCATTTAGTGACCGAAGTTATAACATCATTGAAAAAAAGAGACTTATGACCTTTTGTCACACAATAATTGCAGCATCTTCATGGTCATGTGATCAAAATAAAGACACTTGGCAACTGACTCATATTTTTGATAGTTGCAATGTCCCGGGATCAGCATCTGCATTTGTAATCTTCAGACAAGCAAAATCAATTGGAAAGTCAGATTAACTTAACCATGTTACTAACAATAACTGCAGTTATTCACAACAACTATCACAAGAAAGGTCCTAAAATGGGACAAAATTCATTTAATTACTGTCTTGCTTAACAATATAATTTTTTGACTCAGTTACCACCTATAATGATTATTTGTTTTTCTTTATTATCAACATTTTCAAATCTTGAAATACAGAAAACAAAACCACTTTTCATAAAATGTAAATCTTTAACAATAATAAACACTTCTGAAGAAATAATTCTCAATGGTTTTCTGCTACGAAACCTGAATTTTTTCCATTACTAATTTTCAAGTATGCAGAATTAAATGGATAGCATTATTTTGCTTCAATGCATGAAAAGAAGCACATTATCATTTTAAATGCAACAAAATTGGCATAGAAAAATAAATATATTGTACTATAGTCACTGAAGAAAGATAGGCAGAATTGGGACAGAAATGCTCATAAATTACAGTGAAACCCAAATACATTATTGATGATGTTGGGTCTTTGTTGACATATAACTTTTGCCTTTCTGATCCCTCACCTTCTCTTGTTTCAACTGTAATGAAAAAAATCAAAAAATTACTTGAAACATAAGCTGTCCTTGTTTTCTGCAAACTATAGAAAACAACTTTCATCTATTCCAGGGGTGTCAAACTTGCAGCCCTCATGGGTCGTGTGCTGGCCACACCTACCCCCAGTTTAGCGAAGGGGGGGAGTCACTATGCTTCATGTGGTGGTGACGTGGCGCCACAAGTTTGACACCCCTGATCTAGTCCCATTATTGCTACATTTTCTTATCCTAGTACAGCATTAGAAATTTCCTTTGCAGGATGCATCTACATCCAAGCACTCATATGAATTGACACAAACTCACAAACTGAAATGTATGAGTTATGGCATTGTTGGAAATCTCATAAGCTGTGATCTAAGGTGGAGGTAGAGAAACACATGAATTAATTGATATGATTGACTATCATGCATAGAGTTTAAAACTTCTTGTAGTAAGATTTATACAATGTTTAGCCAATAATATAAATATTATTGTACAATTGCATTACTGAATAAATAGGCAGATGTACTGCCTCTAAAACATTAATTGCTTTTGAAAAAAGTCACTGGTCTTCAATATAAATTATACAAACACTTTTCTTTGTTTTTACATGTCACGATAGTCCTGATATTCCCATCTAAATACATTTGATTTTCAAATATCACTACAGTTTCCCAGTGTACTATTTAAAACCGTCCACACATTATTATGTGTGCTAAGTGCCATTTGAACAAATTATTTTTAAACAGAAAGAAATGCTTCTGCTTTAAATAATGTATACTGTGGACTTACCCGTGCCTGATATTGTCTTTCAGAATAAGCCATATCATCTTCTTCAGATCTCCTTAAACTGGAAACTTTCATTGTTGTACTTGTACTTCCTAAAAGACAATAATTTTGTTAGCTTTTTAAATACATTTAAAATGTTTAATAAATTATTTAAAAATGTAAAAATCATTACCATCTGTTAATTGGGAGTAGGCCTGCATGGAACTGGATGGACCTTGGAATGCTTTTAAAAATGGATTATCCATATTGGTTACAGGAGCTTCTAAGAATTGAGCAGAAGGTGCTCCTTAAAAGTAAAAAAACATTAAAATTAAAGTACTACTGCTGATGAATAAAGTCTAGGTTAAATATATGTTGGATTAAGACCACAGCATTTCTATTAGATGATTGTGTAGTATAAAAAGAACAAGTTGATAGTGTGCATAAAATAGGATAATCAAGATGAATCAACACTCATCAAAAGGGTTAACTCTATTTTCTGCGGTCACACTAAAATAAAAAATGTAAATCATACTGCATATATCAGCCTAAACATTCAGTCATGGGTTAAATTGTCAACTAGAAAAGCATGAAAACAGCCACTGTTAGCAAGGATAACAGCAAACTGCTGCAGTTCATTTCCTTTTGTTTTGTTTGCCCTGTCCTAAATATCAATATAAATTTCCAGCTTAAGATAAAGTCCACACATCAGATGGAGTCCAATTCACAGAACATTTGAATATAAAGTAAAATATATTATTTTATAAATATTCATTTTATTTAAAGTCACCTGGCAGGAAGATAAATGGCAAAAATGTAATAAATAAAAAATAAATTTATAAAATATAATATGTAGTATGATGTAACACATTTCTTAATCTTTAAAGTACCACATTTCTGGTAGCATTTTGGTCTCAAATGAGTAGCACGACTACTCATTTGGGAATAACTATGAAATAGATTTTAATAAGACCAATTATTAAGCTATTATTAAAGTAAAAAACAATCAAATATATTGACAGAAGCAACAATTAAAATGTATCCTAAGATAGCTTTCTTATATTCTGTAAAAGGGATGAAGTATGAGAAGGACAATAGTTTTTTCTGTGTCAGAATTTATTTGAAATGTATTGATAAGTTACAGATAAAGCTCAGTTTAGAACCATTCCAGCAGAAGGAGAGTCCAACAAATCCAATGACAGAAACAGAAGATAACTCAGGGTAGTTAGAATAGCTTCCTCATATTGCACAATGAAAAAAGAGGTTATTCGGATGAGGAGACAAAGTTAGATAATAAATCAGAAAGCAAGTCATGATGGTAAAAAGGAATTGCTGCTTATTTCCCAGGCTGGCATATCCTACCAAAATGCTTAATCTTTACTCTCTGCTGTCCTAAACTACTGTTTCCACACAATAAATCACACTCACTGGATTACCCAATTGATGATTTGATAATTTCATCCTCCTTGCCCTTACCTTTCCTCATCCTGAACTCAAATATGAAACTTCATCCAACAAGAAAGTGCTTGCATGGGGGAAACAATCAGCATGAGGGAAAGGAATACCTATTTTTGCTTGTTTTCTATCTCATGTCTCCTGTGCTCTGAGCCAAAGTCAATTAATTCATGGTTTTATTGTTTTATAATTCAAAAGTTTACTTAAAATACATTTAATTATATTTAATTAAAAAATAAACATACAATAATGGATGATAACATTACCTTCAGGACAGCTAGTTAAAACAGCAATTTAAAAATGTAAATCTGAAAGCTTCTCCATAGTGGTGGAGGTAGCATCTAGACTGGGTTGACCTTCATCCACTCATTGCGAGAACTGAGCCTGACAGTTGATGAAAAACCACGCCCCTGTCGCTTGGCAAAGCCCAGTTCTGACTCAGTTCCTCAATGAGCATAGATGTATCATCGCTTCGTTCCCATCTGAAAGGAATTTACTGTCTTTATAAATATTGGATTTGTGAGTTATTCCTATTGAATTGACCTTGGATTGTGAATTGACTTTGGATTGTGCCTGATTGACTGAAGTTCTTTGCAGGGGCAGTGTGCCTTACGGGTCTTAGCCTGTAAGCCTTCTCAGACATAAAGGCTTCGAAAGATGAGGGAGGCTTGAATTGTTTGAGATTAATCCCAGAAACTCCCGTAGCTTGACGATCAGTGCCTGACTCCACCACACTTACCTCTCGCTGCCTGCCTCGCCCAATTACGATCCCTCACCATTCGGAACAGCCTTCGCACTGGCAGTGCTCCGTTGTTCCTGTCTTCAGTTGAGCGACGAACCGCAGCAGCTTAATTCAAATATAATGTGAGCGTTTTTTCTCAGCTGCTGCAGAGCGACCCATACCCTTAGAGCGGCAATCAGAGAGTTGATAAGGAGCGGCATTCTAGCCAAGCCACTGTTTTCTCATAAGGAAAGTTGCAAAAAGGCATGAAGCACCATTTTTCGTAATCGCGCCCTCTCTCCTTTTAAAATGGTGGCCACCATTTCTTCTGAAACACCAAATGTCACAGCGGAGCCCTCTGGAGAGGCTCGTAGCCCCCAACTGGTTGAAGGGCATTTGGGTACTCAATCACCTCCCCGGCCTTCAACATCTACCACCTCAGGGCCAGCTAAAACAAGAAAAATCCAAAAGCCTCAATGAAGGCTAGCAGATCTAAAAAGCCCTCCAAGCCTGCTTCTCGATATGAAAAGGAAAAGGCTTTGGTGTGCATTTATAAGAAAGCTGCTTCTAAGAGAGCCTCATCCACATGCTTCCAAACAAATTGAGCATTCCCAGATGCAATTGGCCTTACAACTCTCTCCTGGGGACAGACAGAGTAGGGAGGTTTCCCTTAACCTTCTTTCCAATTGATGTTTCTGGCATCTGGGGGCCCACACAGGAAATTCTTCCTCCTGTGCCTGCTGGTGATACCATCGCCTCACCCAGCGTGCAGAGGATGGACGCTATTCCATCCATCTCAACTGGAATCCGTCATGACCAGCCAAATTCTCTCTACGTGTCCAATTTTCAAGACATCATTGCCACCGCCATATCACAAGGCATTGCAGCGGGGTTGCAACAGAGGGATGCTTCAAACCAAAAGCAATTACTCCAGAAGCAATCATCTGACCACCCCGCGGTACCTCTAGAGCCCACGTTAATAGCAGGCTCTTCGGCTCCAGATGAAGAGGCATCAGACCAATCTTCGGTTGCAGATGAAGGGGAGATCAAAGAGGCAGAGATGTCTGAGGATAAAGGCAGGGAACCAGACCAAAAAACTTTCTCTGGGCTCTTCCCTCCAACCCTGTTCCAGTCCTTGCTGTACAAGGCCAAGATGGTGGCAAATTTTGGCGCACAGCCGGTGACAACCGCCCCTCGCCCTACTTCTGTGTCTTCCGTCACCCTGTTCTCTGAACAGGCCCCTCCATCTGAGATGATACCAACACCTAAAATATTTGTAGACCTGGTACAATGTCAGTGGTCGGCTCCTACTTCTGGTCCGAATCCATCGGCTTCAGATAAAAAATTCTTCAATGTAGCCAATGATCTGGCCCAATTCTTGTTGGTTCCGACAATCGACGGCCCAATGACTGCCCTCTGCACCTCGGCGAATATGCCGGGAGCCCCAGAAAATGTCCTTAAACCAGAAGATAAAAAGGCAGACCTCGCATTGCAACATGGTCACCAGGCAGCAGCGTGAGTGCTTCGTACCTCAACCACCGCTTCTTCATCCGTTCCTGTCTCCTCTGGCTTCAGGATGTGCAACAAAGCATTCCCATCGCAGACATACGTGCCCATCAAAACATTGCCAAACTGGTGGCAGCTGTCCAGTTTACATGTGACGCTACGCTTACATCTGCCAGATTCGCATCCAGAGCCATAGCGTCTTCTGTGGTGTCCTACCGACTGTTGTGGCTTCGCCAGTGGCAGGCAGATGTGCGCCACAAATGGTGATTCGCTTCTACCCATTCAAGGGCAATTCTCTTTTTGGGAATGCCTTGGATCCGTTTTTCATTGAGAACAAGGAGAAGAGAAAGGTCCTTCCTACGGTGCCCAAGAAAGGGTTCTCTCACTCCGCTCCCAACCACAGACGCCCTTCCTTTTGGGGCCAGGATGGGGGGGCCATCCTTTCAGAACCAGGATTATGGTTCGTCCTTTCGGGGGGGCAGACTATGGCATCTAGGGGTATAGGCAGCAGGAGGGATACTCCTCCAGAGAGAGGGGCCAGTCAGACCGTTACCCCAGAGAGGAAAATCAGCCAAACATCCCTTTCACGGAGGTGGAGGACATTTCTACCGCCGATAACTTGCCGGCCACCAGTTATCCCATCGGAGGTAGATTGGCCTTTTTCGCTGATCAATGGGATAGGACCACCTCCAATGCTTGAGTTAGATCTACTGTTAGAATAGGACTTGCTCTTGAGTTGCTCTCCAACCCTCCTAGGCTCTTCAGGACCTGTCCATTATCAAACAACCCAGCTCGACATCATATCAAGCAAGAGGCGATTCAACATCTCTTGGATATACGGGCCGTACAACTAGTGCCAGAAGATCAACGTGGCCAAGGATTCTATTCCATACTTTTTGCTATCCCGAAGGCCTTGGGGGGCTGGAGAGCCATCCTTGATCTTAAGAAATTAAACAAGTTCATTTGTTATAAACTTTTTAATATGCATTCATTGCAAACCATTTAAGGTAGTATTAGAAACGGCGATTTCTTAACTTCAATAGATTTGACAGAGGCATACCTCCATATTCCCAACTTGCCCCAGCATAGGCAGTTACTATGGTTTTCCTACCTGGATCATCACTTCTAATACACAGCATTGCCCTTTGGGCTTTCCTCAGCACCCCGAGTATTTACCAAATTGCTTGCGGCTTTGATTGCTGCGCTGCGAGAGGTGCCTATAAGATTACAGGCCTATTTAGATGACATACTCATACAATCTTTGTCCCATAGTGAGGCTCGAAGGGACCTTATGACCACTATACAGATCCTCCAGGACCATGGCTTTTCAATTAACATACCCAAGAATCATCTTCATCCAACCACCAGGTTAGTGCACCTCAGTGCTTTAATTGATACCGTTGATTGTAGAGTCTTCTTGTCACTAGAGTGGCAGGAATCTCTCAGGTCCCCAGCAAGTCAAGCTGCCAGGGAATGCAGAGACTCTATGGCCATACTCACAAAATTGCTGGGCACCATGGCATCGGCCATTGGGATAGTTCCTTGGGCACAGTTACATTCCAGGGAACTCCAATGGTTTCTCTTGCCATTTCAGAGAAGACTCTTAAGCTGTTCCCTGGCCAAGGTATGCATCCCAGCAGGTTTCCTGTTCCCTCCTGTGGTGGACGTCCCAGGCCACCACCAGGGACCGCCAGTTCAAGGACCAGGACACACTGGCTGTCACCACGGATGTTAGCCTATTTGGCTGGGGGGCTCATCTCCAGGAACAAATGGCACAGGGGTAATGGGATCAGGTGGACCGGACTCACAGTATAAACTGGCTGGAACTACGAGCGGTCCACCTGGCTCTCCACCATTTCCAGCACACAGTGGCGGGCAAACATGCTCTTGTGCTGACGGACAATATGTCAGCGAAGATGCACATAAACCGTCAGGGAGGGACCAGGTTGCGTTCCATGATGGACGAAGCCATGAAATTGGGTCTTTGGGCCGAGAAACACTTACACTCTCTCACTGCGGAGCATATATCGGGGGTGCAGGCCAACTGGCTCAGCCAAGAGGTTGTGGACCGTGCCGAATGGAGCCTGCACCCATCGATCTTCCGGGACATTGTGGACCAATTCAGCATGCCGGTGATCTATCTTTTCACTACCCCCCACAACACACAGCTCACACGGTTTTACTCTTTGTTCCCAACACTGCTGTCGGAAGGGGTGGATGCACTTCGATGCAACTGACCTCCAGACCTCCTTTATGCTTTCCCCCTGCTTCCCCTCTTAACCTTGAGTCATCCAGAAGTTCATCGGAGAGAGGGCGGAGGTAGTCCTGGTCACCCCCCACTGGCCATGCAGGCATTAGTTTGTGACCCTGCGGACTCTCTCGGTGGACAGGCCATCGACTGGATCTCCCTCAGCCAGGGGTCACTGGAACACCCCAACCCTCAGTGGTTCCAGTTGAGCACCTGGCGCTTGAGCGGAGTGTCCTGAAGGAGGATCATTCAGACAATCCAAGCTGCTCAGTGCCTGTCCACCAAGCATATCTATGATTCCACCTGGCGGTCATTCTGTTCCTGGTGTTCTGGTAAGGCTTTATATCCCACTAGGGCCACTATCCCTCATGTTCTGGAATTTCTACTGGATGTTTTGGACAAGGATTTGGCCACAAATACCATCCGAAGGCAATTGATGGCTATTTCCTCCATATTGACTTGTGGGTGTTCCGCTCCGCTATCTCAACAGCCCACGGTGCGTCATTTCCTTAACGGAGCTTCCAACCAGCAATGCAGAGATATCCCTCCTGGGTTTTGCCCAGGGTTCTTGATGCCCTTATGGCGGCTCCCTTCAAGCCTCTACAGGAGGTCTCCCTTAGTTTCTAACTTTAAAAGTATCCTTTCTGGTGGCCATCACTTCCATCAGACGGATTTTGGAACTGCAAGCACTTTCGGTGAAAGACGATTTGTGCATTTTCCATCGACCGCGTGGTGCTGCGGTTGGATCCCTCCTTCATATGCAAGATGTACTCCTGTTTCCACAGAGCACAGGAGCTTGTGCTACCAAATTTTTGTCCCCATCCTATTCACCCTTTGGAACCCAACTGGCACACCTTGGACATGAGGAGGGCTCTAAAGATTTATTTGAAAAGGACTCGACCTTTTTGGACATCAGAGACACTTTTTGTTTTCTTCCAGCCTGCTTCCCTGGGTAGGAAGGTTTCATCAGCTATCATAGGCAGATGGCTGCAGGCCTGTATTGCTGCAGCCTATCAGTCCAATCTACTCCGGTTCCAAGTAGATTGACCGCACACACTACAAGGAGTGTGGCCACTTCGGCTGCCTGGGCAGCCCAAGCATCCTTAGCAGAGATTTGTAGGGCAGTGACGTGGCTAGCCCATCCCCCTTCATCAAAAATTACAAGTTAGACACCTTTGCATCTGCAGATGCAGCCTTTGGCTGCAGGGTGCTCCAGTCAGTCCATAGGATAGAATCTCAGCTGGACCAGTCATAATCCCACCAGGGGACAGATCCAGCTTTGGTACGTCCCAGTCTGGATGCTATGTCCACCACTATGGAGAAAGGGTGTTGGTCCTTACCTGAGACACCTATTCTCATAGGGTGGAGGTAGCATCCAGCCCCTCCCAAGGCAAGACTGGTCGCCTCTTTTTGATTCCTCTTTTTCCTTGTTTTTTCTCCTTGCATTTTTTTTGTGGATTTATTTGAATGACATTAGATATATACAGTGGTGGGATTCACTTACCTTCTCTACCGGTTCACAAATCTGACTGCATGCACCACATTTGCACATGCACACCTTCTTCTGCATCTGTGCAGTGCTTGTGCATTATGTTGGGATGGGGGCGGAGCCTCCCAGAGCCACCGCTACGGGTTCACCCAAACCAGAAACAACCGGGTCTTTTTTAAGAAGGCTTGTTGCCAACTGTAAATGACACTCCTTAATGTACAGAAGATAAACAAATCAGCCTAATCAACAATCAAGTTGAAAGACTATTTGCATTAAACACAGGCTGTAAAGGGTTTGAAAGTCAAGTAATTCTATGTTGAAATTAAGCCTAGACAAGTATTAAAAGCCAGAATGGTGATTCAAAATCAGGGTTCATGACTTTATAAAGCTAAAGGAGGCAACAACCTAAATCAACTTCATATTGGAATGCAGAATTCTAACTTCAAATTAACCAGAAAGAAGAATTTTAAAACTACTAGGTTTCAGGTGATCTTCAAGGTAATTCTGTATAAATCAAAATATGGCAATACTCATTTATTTAAAAAATGTTCAAGCATATTTGTACTAAAATATAAGTCTTGATAGTACTAAAATAAATTTCATAAGATATAATTACTTGAAACAGCACTGATTTTGTTAGATCACATGTGACACTCTGCCTACTCCCCACCTCCCGCAGCTTGGCACTGCCTGGCTGGAGAGGGGGGTTGTGTGAGCGCCTATTCCCCCCCTGCTCCCAGCATAACTTCTTCTCCAGCTTCCAAATTCCCAAACTCGACTGCCGAGTCTTCCCACAGCAGCCGCTCTAGGAGTACGCTCTATGGTTGTGGATTGGCTGCTGGAAGACTCTCTGTCCGGAAGATTCTCTGTCCGGCAGCTGGCTCTGCCTCGCCGGAGGGGGGTTGCCTAGGGGGCTTATTTTCAGGGATTTGCTTATATTTTTGCCCATGCAAAAAATGTGGCAAGGCTTTAGTTTCAGGACAGGTCGTATTTTCGGGGAAACTGGTAGTATGGCCAATGCTTGTCTTCCCCCAAATTTCCTAGGATAATTGGCTGAGAAACCCAAAGGCAATTGGGCATATATTTTTAAAAAATTATTTTCATCCTTACCTATTCCACTATCATCAAGTCTCATGTAGCCTTCTGCTAAGGAACTAAAACCTGTTAGTCCCCCCATTGCAGCATAAGGGACATCGTGCCCAACTGGCTTTCCTTGGGCTAAACGTTCCTCTTTTGTTTCCACTACAGTTTCATGAGAATATGCTGGCTGGCCACATCCACAAGTAAAGCAACTGTGAAACCCTGAACATTTGGAACCTAATGCAAAACATATTTTGAAAAAGTCATTATTTGTTTGAAAGGTTTACATTCAATGTCAATTTTGCTTGCCGTAGTCTTGGTGATATAAAAATTGCTACGACTGAAACGTTTTAATATTCATATATACATTATTTAAATAGGACAGACATGTAAGAGTAATAACTACAAGATAATTATTTCTATATCTGGAATCGTAAACACTACTATTCTTTGCTTAGATAATAATTTGCAGGTAAGTTCTAATTTTGCAAGGAGTTGTCTGAGAGTAGGAGCAGTCTTTATTGTATGTATGCTTAAAAAAGACTACATTGACGATCTCCTATTTGGAAGCAGCACATATTTGAATATTGTGTATCATTATGCAAATTAACCAGATTTAAAGTATTTATTTATTTAGCCTATTTGCTTGCCACTTCAATCAAAATTTGCACTCAACAGCTCACATAAAAATGCAATATAAAAGAAATCCAATTTTGATTAAAAATAAAACAACAAAATAGAGAATACAACACAACACAAATTTGTGACAACACAAATCAGAGATTTTCCAGAAAACTTAATCTTTAGAAGGTTATAGAAATCAACAAAGAAAGTCAGCCAAATCTTCTCAGGGAGACTATTCTACAATATTGGAGCTGCAACAGAAAAGCAGCACCTCCTTACCTCAACTCCCTGAACCTTCCAAAAGTATAGCATTTGCAACATTATCCTGACTACAACTAATCAGGCAGGCCAAAGCTGGATAAAGTAATATTTATGGTGAACCTTGAATTAAGTTTCCTGATTGCAGAATTTGAAATGTATTAGTTACTTCCAAACCAATAGATATACATTGTTATGATACTGAGATAGTATTTAAAGAAAGGTATCTGTAGATGGTAATTACTTTTAAATATAAATTATTCATTTAATCAAAGTATACTTACACACATTGCATAGAAATCCAGTTGCTGGACTATGCTGATCTGCAAAGTGCTTACATCTACAGCGGATGGGCTGAGTACCATTAAGAGGAACAAAGTTATAAGATTTGCATGTGCACCGGCTCACTCTACAAGGTACAGAAATAGGACGTTCTTTTGGAATCACTTCAAAATCTGTTTTATGTTGTTTATATCTAGAAAAAAATTTAAAAATCCAGATGCACTGTTTAGTTACTATTCATTAGAATATTTAAGAATCCTCTTATTCAAAGACATTCAATAACTTTATAAAAGAGGTGAGGTCAATATAATTTGGCAGAATCTTCAAAATCTCAACTTTAATCCCAGATTTGGAGAAAATATACATCAATCTTTTAATTCAATGGTCCCCAATCTTTCCGGCTTTGCAGACCAATAGGGGAAGAGGGGACGGTTCCACACAGGCGCCTGCTGCTTGTGCAACTGGAACTACGTACTTTTGCTCTCACCCACTGCTTTCAGGCCATGGGCCACAGCCTGGGGATTGGGACCACTGTTTTAATTGATCCCTAGTATTGCTCAATTTTCTATTTGTGTTGGGCCGATAATTGCCCAAAATATTAAGACTTACAAATTATGAATCTTTGAATGAATCCTTCCCAGCAGCATTACTTGGAATGAACTTTGTTTTGAACACAATCCAAAATGGAAAGTCAAATTTTCCCAATACCACAACTCTACATTAATTTTACTTATCAGTAAGTTACATAGAAAAAAAAGACTAACATCATGAGATTTGCCATGTTGAACAACTCAAAAGTGTGTGAGCATATATACCGTATGTGTACACATATACACATAACAGTACATATTATGCTTAATATATTTAATTATATATCAGAAGTGAAGAATGAACAGATCTACACATTTCCAGGACAAAATGTTTCTAACTTAATAAAAGAATACGAGCTGTTAAAGCTTTACTTTCTCTTGGCTTATATTTACGAATCGAACCAATAGCAAAGAAACAATATTCTGTGCTCAAAAGAGTTGTTATTGAGTCTGATAGTATAGACCAGCAGAGTACAACTATTGGGTCATTACCATTCAGAGAAAGATAAAACAAAGCACAATAATAATTCTGTTTTACTTCTCACACAATGAAAACCATATTGGAAACAAAGAAAAGGATAGAAATGGGCATTATAAATGTACTAACCCGAGAAAAAGATAGTTCAAAAGTGTACCAGTCATAAAATAACTAAAATAGGTTTACTATGTTAACCTAAAATAAGATACCCATGGAGTCTACATACCATGCAACTTCCTTCTTAAGAGGTTTTAGGAAGGACGCCTTATTAAAAGCAATAATACTAATAAGATGAGGCAACAAAAGCAAAACCATTCTTCTGTTTTAAAGATAAAAATATTTTTATCATATTGATAAAAATTAATACTTGAGAGAGTATTAGTCTTCCTTTTGAACAAATACAATACATACGACTGTTAAAGACATGTATTCTCTAATTATTTTTTAAATCTAAAATAAATTTTAGTGCATCATCCATTCGTACAAATATAGACTGCCTTACCTGTGAGAACAAAAGCAGGGTGTTTCTGGACCCACAAGTTTACAGTCAATGCCAGTTGGTGATCTCCAGCTCACATATAATCTATTTTGCAGCCGAATTGGTAATACTCGTTTCTTATATTGTTCATATTCATCTGGGGTAAATAGTTTCCCACCATCATCTTCTCCTACAATTCTGCAAAAGTGTTGATTTCTGTAATACTTTACATTACATATTTAATTAAATATATTTAATATAAACATATTGTAACCAACAACCTTTTTAATAATATGCACATAGAACATAGGGAGAACTTGTCCACCCATATCATGAGTGAATGAGACAGAAAATATGAATATCTGGGAATTTTAAATTTGAAAAGAAGTAAGGTATAGGTATGCAGGTCTTGGTGTATTCGGGTCTTTTCCCGTGTAAGATTGACAGAATCTTGGCGACGTTTCGATGAGGTCACACTCGTCATCTTCAGGCTGGTGCCGTTTTCGCTTTGTGCTTGTGTGAGCAAAGCGTGATTGAAGCTGCCATTTTTCTATATAGGTGGGGGTGGTGGAATGTTGGCTCTGTTACTTTAAACGGATTGATTTGCTGTGTAGTCACATCTTTATTGGTTGATGGAATTGATATCTGGTGAGGATGATTGGTGATGGTGTCTAGGTAGGGCTGAAGTTGTTTGGCAAGAAATTTGGCATATGATGAACACATCTGATTACCAAGCCAAACTATCCAACCTACTCCAAGACCCCGCTTACAAAACTCTAAACACACACCCCACTGCCTACCTGGAAAAAAAACCACCAAATCCAAAATAAAAGCCTCTCCCATCAGTGAAGAGACCCAGCAAAGAATCATCCCTAGAGAAAAATCATCCAGATGCCCCAAGCTCTATGACCTCCCCAAGATACACAAAGAAGGAACATCACTCAGACCCATAGTCAGCTCCATAGGCTCACCTCTACAGAATCTTGCCAAATTTCTTGCCAAACAACTTCAGCCCTACACAGAATCCATCACTTCACATGTACAAAACTCAATCAGAAGCATTTGTGGGTGATCTCAAGTCCTCTCATGGTCTGGAGTGGAAGAGTCAATCTACACAACTTTTCACTTGCCATGATCATCAGTTCCATATATTCAATCATATTATTTTCTCACTTCCTAACCATACAATAAAAGCTAAGAAACTGAAATTACTGGAATAGTTGTCTGGCCAATAGGGAAGAAAATGGTATGCAACAACAGTGAGTGATCCCTCGACAAGAATAGGCAGGCGCGCCTTTTTAAAAGCCATTTTTCGCCCTCCCGAGGCTCCAGAGGCTTTATAGGAGCCTGAGGAGGACGAAAAGAGCCTCCCCCACCCGCCCCTTATTAGGCAATGTGTACAATTTGGACAATAATGCAGAATAAACTGCAGATTAATTATCTGCAATTAGTCCTTTTCAAAATGAAACTACTTTTAGATGTTTTGTAAAAATGACAATACTTTTCTTTTTTAGTCATCAAATATGTGGTGGATTAAATTATTAATCCAGAGTCCTATTGAACTCTGCAAACAGACAAAACTGTATACCATATTTTTCAGAGTATAAGACGATCTGAAATATAAGACACACTTAGCTTTTGAGGAGGAAAACAAGGGGGGGGGGGAAATCTGCCTGCCTCCCAGCAATTTTCCTCCTTGCAGCAAACAGCAAACAGTACAGAAGATATACACTGTTTGTGGTGTTACATTTCA